ACCATAAACTAATGGAGAAATTGAAAAATTATGTATTTATTAATATAAAAATTGAATGTATAATAAATCAAAAAAGTATTTTCTAAAACTTCCAAAGAAATAAACTTTAATTTTTTCTTTTTCTATTTTCAGGTTCATGGTGAAATTTCAAGATGTATTGTATATATTCAACTTTTTTATTATTAATCATAAACAATGAAAGAAATGAATATATAAAAGTGTATATAATCTGATATAAAAAAGGTTTTTTAAATGAAGACCAAATTGTAATTGCATGGTATAGTTATATAAAGGTACTCTAAAGGTATTACTATAAAGGTTATTATAATAAATTTATAATATAATTATAATTAACCTTTTTATTATTAATCATAAACAATGAAAGAAATGAATATAAAAGTGAATATAATCTGATATATTAATAATAATAGAAAAAAAAAGGGATTCATTAGAAAATCGTAATTGCATGGGGAAAATTTATTTATTTATTTATTGAAATTAAAGGTTATGTTAGGGGCTGTTCACAAAATACGTAACGCTTTTTTTTCTGAAAATTTCAAAAAAAACCCCCCCCCCCCCTCCCACCCTCTCTCCATGTAACACATAGTTACATACATTAGCGCCATTTTTTTGACTGTCCGTAACAATTAGCTTGACTCCCCTCACCCCTAGAAGTGTTACGTATTTTCTGAACAGCCCCTATTATAATAAATATATAATATAATAAAATAGTAATAAAAAAAAATTTACTTAAAAAATATATTAACTTTGATATAACAGAAAATAATAAAAGCCTAAAATATTTTTTGAATTTTTTTTGAAAAAGACGTCTAAAATTAGAAAATAAAAAAAAAAAATTATTTACTACTAAATCTTAAAAATATATATATACATATATAGTATATATAAAGACAAGAGTAACTCATAAAGCGCAGTTAAGGTCATCTTGCGGTTACTCGCAGGAGATAATAGCTAAACGAATATAGGTGGCTAAAGCATTTTGATACGCATAGTGCGCGCTGAGAGTCAATTTCATTGATGGCGAGAGAATGAGCCGGTCGGTGCACCAGGGCTCGAAGGTCATGGACAGTTCAAGGTGATGCAACCTTTTTACATCGTGTGTCTCAAAAAAAAAAAAAAAAGAAAAAAAAATATCTCTAATATTTTTGTCGTAAAAGAAACAAAAAGAGAAATTTTATTTTTTTCAATTATTTTTACTTTTTAATATTAATTACAGTTGCAGTATTTTTATAAAAAGGCGGAATTATTTTTAGTCACACATATATATGTATATGTACATACTGTAAAGGGGCATATACAAAACTAGAGGCATTTAAATAAGAGTAAAAAAAATGACAAGAGCAAGAACCGAGAATGAGATTATTTTAAGACACACCATGCAGAGTTGACTCTTCCATCCATTACGAATATATATATATATATATATATAAATATAATATTATAATTATAATAATATTAATATAAAAAATATATTATACTAATATATTATACTAATATATAATAATAATATATAATAATATATAATAATAATAATATAATATGTATTATTATATTTTGTTATATAATTTATAATTATATATTATAATAATTATAAAACAAATTTATAATGAAAATTATAAGTTATATATATATATATATATATATATATTTGAAAAACCACCTACCCCTATTATATATATATATACATTTTTACAACCCCCTGGAGTTTTTTGTACGACCCTCAGCGTGTTAAAAAAAAAATTAAAAAAAAAAAAAATCACTTTTGACACTAGTGTTCGCAATTTATCTTCGTTCATTATTTATGCACCTGCTTTTTCGCCAAGGAGCCGTAACGAATCAAGGGACAATTTTCTCTCTGCAGGTATATAGAATAAGCTTCAAGAGCAAAATAAGATGTTTTGGTTTCTCTCTGTCTCTTTCAAGATTTCTGACAGGTACATAAACTACAATATTATTAATTGAAAATTTATTTTAATATTTTCCAAATAATTTTTTTTTTTTTCATTTATTTGTTTACTAAAAACTAATTTTTTTTTTAAAAAAAACTACTAAAATATTAACTTAATTTTTTTTTACAGATCCATGGATGTAAAAATATATTGGAGATACATTGAGCCAATATTGGACCCATTTTGAGCCTACATTGGACCTACATTTAGCATATATTGGACCTACATTGAGCCTACATTGAACCTATTTTGAGCCTACATTGGACCTACATTTAGCATATATTGGACCTACATTGAGCCTACATTGAACCTATTTTGAGCCTACATTGGACCTACATTTAGCATATATTGGACCTACATTGAGCCAATATTGGACCTACATTGAGCCAATATTGGACCTATTTTGAGCCTACATTGGACCTACATTTAGCATATATTGGACCTACATTGAGCCCATATTAAACCTATATTGGACCTACTCTGGACTTAATTTTCACTTTGAACTTACTTTAAAACTAGTTTGTGAGCCAACCTTCGATCTACTTTAACCTATAATTTCGACCTTTTTTCAATAAACCTAATATTAGACTTTAATTTAATTTTCAGATCCAAATGGAGAAATTGAAGGCTATGATAAAAATATAATACAATTATTATAAACCTTTTTATTATCGTAAACGAATGAAGAAAATGAAAAATTAGGTATTGTAAGTATAAAAATGAATATAATAAATCGAAAATACTTTTTTAAAACTTCGGAGAAAATAATATTATTTTTTTTCAATTTTCAGGTTTATGGAAGAAGTTTGAAGATGTATAAAAAGGTATACTCAACCTTTTTATTATTAACCATAAACAAATGAAAGAAATGAATATAAAAGTGAATATAATCTGATATAATATTTAAAAAAAAAGGTGTCATTAGAAAACCAAATCGTAATTGCATGGTAGTTATAAAGGTACTAGAGGTACTATAAAATATTTTTAAAAATTAAGAAAATTTATATCTCCCTCTCTCTCTCTTCTTCTTTCTCCCTAACCTCTCTTTTCGTTTATCTTCAGCAAAAAGGGTGCCGCAGCCCAAGATCCCTCTTCCGCCCTGTGTGTGCATGTGAGAGAGAGAGAGAGAGAGTTTAGGTATCGCTAAATATAAAACACAGTTGGAAGTAGTCTCGGTGTCAACTGCCTCCGATATTCTAGACTAGACTCAGACGCGCGCTTATATTTCATATATACTCTCTTTTGAGAATTGAAAGTTACCCTAATTTTGCTTTTCTAGACCACCCAAAAATATATATCGCGGGAGTTATTTATCTTCATCTCATTAAAAAAAAAAAAAACACGTGTAAAAATTGTAACTATTTTCTAAATAAAAAACACAATAATCGACATTCTAAACAATATAAAATATTCATTTATCAAAATTAAAATATTTTAAAATAGTAAAATAATAATTATAATAATAATAATACTAAATAAAAAAAATTTTCAAACCAAAAACTTTTTAAATATTCTAAATTTTGGAGTATAAATTATCACTATTTATTAACGTTTCAAAGATGTTAAATTTAAATTTACGCAAGCTTTAATTTTTAAGTGCAAACCCCTTTTCAAGCAAAAAAAAAATTCCTTTAATTCCTTTATTTTTTTCGTATTTTTTTTTTTTTTTTAAAGGTGGGGGGGGGCTCTCTTTGACTTTCTCCGCTTATATATACTTTCGAGAGAGAGAGAGAGAAAAAAAAGAGGCAGATCTCGGACATTGAGCTTGAGGCAGAGCACCCTCTAATTATGGCGCGATTTTCGTTATCGATCCTTCGATCGTTCTCTCCTCAAAGATTGAGCTTAGTAGTGTATATATAGTTGCGAGACTTGGTTAAAATTATCCAAGAAGGAATCCCTTCTAATCCATCATATACATCAAAAAAAAAAAAAAAAAAAAAAAAAAATTCGCATTTTTCTTTTCTTTTCCCTCTTTTTTTTACCTCTCTCGCGATTAAAATCGAAACAATTTTTTTTAAGTAATAGTAATAATAGTAATAGTACTAATAGTAACAATACTAATAGTAACAGTACTAAAAGTAACAAAACTAATAGTAACAATACTAATAGTAACAGTACTAAAAGTAACAATACTAATAGTAACAATACTAATAGTAACAGTACTAAAAGTAACAATACTAATATTAGCAGTACTAAAAGTAACAATACTAATAGTAGCAGTACTAAAAGTAACAATACTAATAGTAACAATACTAATAGTAACAATACTAAAAGTAACAATATTAAAAGTAACAGTAGTAACAATACTAATAGTAACAGTACTAAAAATAACAATACTAAAAGTAACAATAGTAACAATATTAAAAGTAACAGTAGTAACAATACTAATAGTAGCAGTACTAAAAGTAACAATACTAATAGTAACAAACTAATAGTAACAGTACTAAAAGTTTCAACAATAATAACACTAAAAAGTAACAATACTAATAGTAACAGTAGTAACTATTAGTATTGTTACTTTTACTATTGTTACTATTAGTATTGTTACTATTAGTATTGTTACTATTAGTATTGTTACTATTAGTATTGTTACTATTAGTATTTTAACTTTTAGTATTATTACTACTGTTACTATTGTTGCTTTTAGTTTTGTTACTACTGTTACTATTAGGACTGTTACTTCTTGTATTGTTACTTTTAGTATTGTTACCTTGTGTATTGTTACTACTGTTACTATTAGTATTGTTACTTTTGTTACTTTTAGTATTGTTACCTTATGTATTGTTACTTTTAATATTGTTACTATTAGAAGACTAATAGTGACAATACTAATAGTAACAATAGTAACAGTTGTAACAATACTAATAGTAAGAGTACTAATAGTAATAATAATAATAATAATAATAATATTTTAAAAAAAAAATTTTTTAAATGGGTAAAAATAATAATTGGCAAAAATTTTTGCAATTTTTTTTTTTTTTTTGGTCTTTCGATAATAATTGTTATTATAATTAAAATATTGTTACTCACCGTGTTTTAATCGAACTCCACGAGTGGCGAGGGCATTTTCCATAAAAATGACAAGAAACAAAATAAACAGAATTCTCGTCCTGGTGGCCATGACTTTTTTTTAATTTGTAAATTTTTTTTTTTTTCCCCACTCACTTTCAAATATATATATATTTTTAAATAACAAGCACACTTAACTACCAATTTTTTTTTTTACATAATTTGCATATATATGTATATAAATACGAAATTAAATACATATATATATATATATATATAAATAAATTACCGCGTTTTATCGATTGTTGACACACACACACATTGATTTATTAGACGATGCACAGTCATCACGAAAAACACTCTTTTTTTTGGGGGGGGGGGAATGAAAAAAAAATATTTTTTTTTTCAAATTTTCACCATTTTTTTTTTTTTTAATTTTTTAATTACTCCTTTTAATTTTCATTATTTGGCACTTTTTAAATATTTAAAAAAAAAAAAATAATTTTTTTTTGTAATTTATTTTTATAAAATTAAGTTAATAAAAATGTAAATTAATTAATTTTTTTTTTTTTTTTTTTTTTTTTGACGAAATCAACGTGGGGGTTTGACGCGCGATATTTAAAAAAAGAAATGGAAAAACTTTTTTTTTTATTTATTTTTTTTTTTTTTTTGAAAAAGACGCGAAGCGCGCACGCGATGATGTCAACGCCGCGAGCAAAACTAAAACCCAAGAGAAAACTCGAGAGAGAACGAACCGAACCACCAACACCTCTGGTCACTCCCACCCCAATCATCCCCGCCTATAAAACCCGCCAGGTAAACTTCAGGAGAGAGAAAGAAAGAGAGAGAGAGAGAGAAAGAGAGCTACCTGTTCCCTCCAAAAAAAAAAAAGGTGAGAGAGAACAATAACCTATACTATATGCATATATATATATATACCTAAATTTTAAAGTCATTAGCAAAACAATAAATAAATATAAATCAGATAAGAACATAGATTTAACCAGTTTTTGTACCTACTGGGTTTTTATTTTTCAAAATATAATAATAATAATAATTAACTTTTAAAATGACTTTTAAATTCTGTAATTTATCGGTTCATTAAAGTCTGCTCTAACCTCAAATATTCATTTTTTTTTTGTGAAAACCTATGTGAAAAAAAATTTCCGGTAATTTATAAATGGAAATAGCAACAATAGTAACAATATTAATAGTAAAAATACTAATAGTAACATTACTAATTGTAACAGTAGTAATAATAACAATACTTATAGTAACAGTAGTAACAATACTAATTGTAATAGTAGTAATAGTAACAATATTAATAGTAACAGTACTAAAAGTAACAATAGTAACAATACTAATAGTAACAGTACTAAAAGTAAAAATACTAATAGTAACAGTCCTAAAAGTAACATTACTAAAAGTAACAATAGTAACAGAACTAAAAGTAACAATACTAATAGTAACACTACTAAAAGTAACAATAGTAACAGTACTAAAAGTAACTATACTAACAATACTAATAGTAACAGTACTAAAAGTAACAATAGTAACAATACTAATAGTAACAGTAGTAACAATACTAATAGTAACAGTACTAAAAGTAACAGTAGTAACAATACTAATAGTAACAGTACTATAGGTAACAATAGTAACAGTACTTAAAGTAACAATAGTAACAATACTAATAGTAACAGTAGTAAAGGTAACAGTAGTAACAATACTAATAGTAACAGTACTAAAAGTAAGAATAATAATAGTAACAGTCCTAAAAGTAACATTACTAAAAGTAACAATAGTAACAGAACTAAAAGTAACAATACTAATAGTAACACTACTAAAAGTAACAATAGTAACAGTACTAAAAGTAACTATACTAACAATACTAATAGTAACAGTACTAAAAGTAACAATAGTAACAATACTAATAGTAACAGTAGTAACAATACTAATAGTAACAGTACTAAAAGTAACAGTAGTAACAATACTAATAGTAACAGTACTATAGGTAACAATAGTAACAGTACTTAAAGTAACAATAGTAACAATACTAATAGTAACAGTACTAAAGGTAACAGTAGTAACAATACTAATAGTAACAGTACTAAAGGTAACAGTAGTAACAATACTAATAGTAACAGTACTATAGGTAACAATACTTATAGTAACAGTATACTAAAAGTAATAATACTGATAGTAACAATACTAATAGTAACAACACTAATAGTAAAAATACTAATAGTAACAGTACTAAAAGTAATAATACTGATAGTAACAATACTAATAGTAACAAAACTAATAGTAACAATACTAAAAGTAACAATACTAAAAGTAACAATACTGATAGTAACAATACTAATAGTAACAAAACTAATAGTAACAATGCTAATAGTAACAGTACTAAAAGTAACAATACTGATAGTAACAATACTAATAGTAGCAAAACTAATAGTAACAATACTAAAAGTAACAATACTGATAGTAACAATACTAATAGTAACAAAACTAATAGTAAAAATACTAATAGTAACAGTACTAAAAGTAATAATACTGATAGTAACAATACTAATAGTAACAAAACTAATAGTAACAATACTAAAAGTAACAATACTAAAAGTAACAATACTAAAAGTAACAATACTGATAGTAACAATACTAATAGTAACAGTACTAAAAGTAATAATACTAACAGTAACAGTAGTAACAATTCTAATAGTAACTGTAGTAACAATTCTAATAGTATTGTAAACAATAAAAACAATTTATTACTTAAAGTCGTTTTATTTGTACTATTTTTGAAAGTAAACAAACCAAATTTTTAGGTTAGATATGGTTAGGTAAGGTTAGAAATAGTTAGGTTAGGTAAGATTAGGTAAAGTTAGGATAGGTTAAGAATGGTTAGGTGAGTTTGGGTTAGGTTAGTAATGGTTAGGTTAGGTTAGATTAAGTCACGTAAGGTTAGGTAAGAAACGCGTTCTTTGGAAATTATAGGTTATTATAACCTTAAATTTCCAAAGAACGTATATTTATTATAAAATAATGAATAGTTATATAATATATAGTAAATAAATTTTTGTTTCTATTTTCAGGTTCATGGAGAAATTTTATTGAAGATGTATTAAAAAAGGTACCCAACCTTTTTATTATTAACCATAAACAATGAAAGAAATGAATATAAAAGTGAATATAATCTGATATAACGGGAATGTTACAATCGCGATGGTTTATATATATATATAAATATAAAAAATTACTTTTTTTAGGTTAAACACGTGTTTCAAGAGTTTATGAATTTTTTTTTTTTATTTTTTTTAGGTTAAACTCGTGTTTTAGGAGTGTATGAATTTTTTTTATAGGTTAAACTCGTGTGTCAGGAGTGTACGAATTTTTTTTTTAAAACGCGATAGTAAAAAAAATGTATAGCTTTTTTTATGTTAAACGCGTTCTTTGGTCGTGTACAAAAATATAAAAATCGCGATAGTTTATATATAAATATATAAAAAATAATTTTTTTTTTTAGGTTAAACACGTATTTAACGTTTGAAAATTTTTAAATCAGAATTTTCTAGATATAAAAAAAAATTAATTTTTTTGAAATTTTACCAAAAAAAGGTGCTTATATTAAGTTTAAAAAAAAAATTTTTTTTGTTTACAATTTGGAAATAGGTTAACGAATGGAAAAAACTTTATTTTTTATTTTTTTATTTTTTTTAATATTTTTTCTCCATTTTTTTTTTTTTTTTACTAAAGAAACATGTCTCAACGAACACACACGGACAAATTAGTGATCGAACTAAATCATACAAAGTATTTTCCATCATTTTTTTTTTTCATTTTTTTTTTTTTTTTCCTCTAGAAGGTTATTACATTCTTTTTTTTTCTCATTCGGGTATATATAGGATATTTATTGGTATTATACATTACAAGTATTTTGTTCTTTTCTTAATTGTTCTTTTTCAATATATCAATACATCTCAAAATAATAAATTTCCAAAAAAAAAAAAAAATTTTTTTTTTATTTTCCTTTGCGAAAATTTTTTTTCAATTTAATTAATATCTATTTTTATAAGAGTATAATTTTTTTTTCCACTTAAAAATTTTCAAATAAATAAATATTATAAATTTTCTTCAAATAAATATATAAACAAATTTTATAAAAAAAAAAAAAAAAAAAGATTTAATAAATAAATTAATTTTTTCATAAATAAATATATATAAATTAATTTTTGAAAAAATAATAAAAATTTTTGTGAAATAAAATTATAATTTTAGTAAAATAAAATAATTTTCCCATTATTATTTTGAGATATATGGTTTTTTTTTGTATTAGACGAAACGAGCATTATTTCTGTTGGCAGTGAAAAATTTTTTTTTTATACATAGCGGCTCAAAATTTTTCAATTGTTATTATTTTATTTTTTTTTTTATTTTCCTTTTTCTTTCATTTACAAACAGTCAAATTCAATTGCCTCCATTATTGTATTGTAATAATTACAATATATTATATTTAACATAGGTATATAAATTAATAATTTCTATATCTATATACCCACTTGAAAAGATTCCCCGGAAAGTGCCCCCCTCGAGGTTCTATCAGAATTCCGCCGGAACTTCCAACGTAATTCCATCGGAATTCCATCGGAGTTCCAAAAAATTTCCGATGGGATTCCGACGGAATTAGGACTCTCAAAATTTTGAAGAAAAAAAATTAATCGGAATTCCGTCGGAATCCCATCAGAATTCCAAGAAATTTCCAATGGGATTCCGGCGGAATTCTAACGGAATTCCGACGTAATTAGGATTATAAAAAATTGAAAAAAAAAAATCGAAATTCCGTCGGAATCTCATCAGAGTTCCAAAGAATTTCTGATGGGAATCCGACGGAATTCTGACGGAATTTTGACACAATTCCGACGGAATTAGGACTCTAAAAATTTTGAAAAAAAAAATTAATCGGAATTCCAATAAAATTAGGACTCTAAAAATTTTGAAGAAAAAAAATTAATCGGAATTCCGTCGGAATCCCATCAGAATTCCAAAAAATTTCCAATGGGATTCCGGCGGAATTCTAACGGAATTCCGACGTAATTAGGATTATAAAAATTTTGAAAAAAAAAATCGAAATTCCGTCGGAATCTCATCAGAGTTCCAAAGAATTTCTGATGGGAATCCGACGGAATTCTGACGGAATTCTGACGGAATTTTGACACAATTCCGACGGAATTAGGACTCTAAAAATTTTGAAAAAAAAATTAATCGGAATTCCAATGAAATTAGGACTCTAAAAATTTTGAAGAAAAAAAATTAATCGGAATTCCGTCAGAATTCCAAAAAATTTCCAATGGGATTCCGACGGAATTAGGATTCTAAAAATTTTGAGAAAAAAAAATTAATCGTAATTCCGTCGGAATCCCATCGGAAATTCTTTGGAACTCCGATGGAATTCCGACGGAATTACATTGGAAGTTTCAGCGGAATTCTAATAGAAACCTCCAGGGGGCACTTTCTGGGGAATCTTTTCAAGTGGGTATATATATACATATAGTAATTATTACTGTACTCTCTATAATAGTTCTAGATACCTACTTTATCAGCAAATACAATTCTGGTTGAATCAAATTTACCGCAGTAGAATTTCTTTGCATTTATTATTATTATTATTATTATTATTACTGTAGGACCCGAAAGTGTTTCACTCCTTTATTGGGAAAAAAAAACTTTTTAATTAAAAAATTCTATAAATTTTCCATTAAATAATCAAAACAATAGAAATTAAAATTTATTTTATTTAATAATAATAATAATAATATTAATAATAATAATAATAATATTAATAATAATAATATTAATAATAATAATAATAATATTAATAATAATATTAATAATATTAATAATAATATTAATAATAATATTAATAATATTAATAATAATAATAATAATAATAATTTTTTCGCAAAATTATAAAATATTTTTTTCTTTAAGAAATTGTTTTTTTTTGAATAATAAGTTAATAAATAATTAATTA